TTCAGCAGCATCATGACTGAAACAATCTCTTCACTCATGGTTTCAATGGTAAACCACCACAAGAATGACAATTACCAATAAACACACAATATGCTATAAATCATAAAGTAACATTTGTATTTCAAACAAATGGCAAACTTATTAGCACATTTTAACAAAACTCCCTTCACCGTCATGCATCATGGGAATTCGGAGGGCAGGACGTAGGCTGCGGTTTATTCATGGTGTCAAAGTCCACTGGAAGCCTCTCAGTGTTTCAGCAGCGAAGCGTGCAGCCTGCCCCACGTTAATGACTTGTTTTTAATTATTCTTTTTGTGCTTCTACTACATCCTTCAAAGCTCTCTGTGGCTTTGCTTTCGTTTCTTGTCTTGACTGGTGCATCTAGCAACTACCACAGGAGCATTTCAGAACTTCCTGCTCGGTTCATCTGCTCTGTGCTGCTTGACGCTGGGACGCTTCTGGGACACACTGCGGCGCTTCTGGTGTGAGCACAAACATTAAGTAGAGTGGCTGCAATCAGCTCCGACAGCAGAGAAGCAGACGGACTCAGTGGACTTTCAGAGTGAGTCTGGGTCATGTCCATCCATCCATCCATCCATCGCCAGTCCCAGCTGACATCGGGCGAAAGGCGGGGTACACCCTGGATAGGTCGCCAGTCCATCGCAGGGCTCTGGGGTCATGTAAACTTGGTTAATATGACTTTGTAGCAGGGGGGGGCCACGATGAAGCTCCGTCCCACTGTGCTGAGAGTCTATCTCTGCCCCCGCCTATGAGTAATCCCCAATTTTACAAAATGTACCTGTAATCTGATTACGTTACTTTACATTTATTTTGTATCCTGATTACGTAACACCGTTACATGTAATCCGTTACTCCCCAACCCTGTATGAGTGTTTCATGTTGTTCAAATATTACAGATATTCAGGATTGAGAGGGCTAATATGAAAGACTGGAGAACGACTATTAATGATTTTTGGTCTCCTGTGAGTTGTTTCCACAATTCCATGAAGCCTACTCCATCTGAGATCCATGAAAGAGGGGACAGATTAATGTCTTTGACCTCTATAATATCCACAGACTTCAATTGTTTTCAGTTATTACTTTTTTGCCTCCTTTAAAAGTGACAGGCTGAGAGCACTGACAAGTAAAACATCTTACTGAACAGGCTGCATCATCATCTTGATACGCTGTTCATGTGCACTTTATGGTTAAATGTTTTAGTGGTAGCGCTTCAGTGTTGTGGTCATTGTTTAGTCACGTTATGTGCCCAGCACCTAAAAAGAACTTTGGATGAGTCAACCCCACACATACCCCCCCTTTCTACAGTACTAAACATGTGCCATACAACTGATGAGACAATGTGTGTAATTTCTTCTTCTTTTCCCATGCCGCCATGGCATTGTTTGATAGCATGTTCAACGCTGCCAGATGTTCCTCATGCCCACATTTCAGAAGAGACCAAAAAGGCAGATTACCAAGAAGGAGACGTGATACATTTCACTTGCGAACCTGGTTATACATCAGGTCCAACCATCAAATATGTATGCACGAGCGGGGGCTGGTTGGCAGTTCGTCAGGGAACGTGTTTCTGTGAGTTGACTGGCTTTCTGTTCTGCGCTTTCACCACCGACTGAATGTCTTCTGTTGTTGTTGATCATGTAGCACAATAGCAGTAAATAGCTTACACTGTTGCAAATTGCAGTTAATTATATTTTTTGAAGGTCCCTTTCAGACACAGAATTAATTACGTAACCCTAACCAGTTGTTTTCTAGAAATGTTTTAATGGCAGTCTGCTTAAGTCAGACCTAGTAACATTTCCATAGCATTTCCAACACAGCTCAGGTTTGAATCAAACTTAATTCTTTAATCCTTTCTTATAACAGGTAGTCGATTTTTAAACCTTTTGAAACTCATCATCTGTGAAGAGCATAGTGTTTAAAACCAGTTCTTTCAGGTTCTGTTTAAACGTTTCATCTAGATAAAGTTGAATGGTCCTGTGACTTGACATGAAAATGGATTTAGATGTCAAGAGAAATGAAACAGCAGAACTGCATTTCTCTAAATGTGATCTCAGTGGTGTTGAGCTCTATTCTCTGCTGCAACCCTAGTTTGTCATGTACTTCACCGTCAGTGACCTGACTGACTTGTATTTAGTTCCAGCTTCCAGCTGTGAGCCCCCTCCTGCAGATGGTGGGGTTACAGTAAACGGTTTACCACAAAATGAAGAACCCATACTTCCTGACCAATTCCTCACATTCAGCTGTGGTCCTGGGAAATATCTGGATGGCAGTTCAGTGCTGATATGTGGTAAAGATGGACAATGGAATAATCCATTCCCCTCATGTGAAGGTAAATATAAATAAAAATAATAATTCTGTACACACTGGTTATGTGCTACTTAACTGTGGAGCATGTTGTAATACACTAAAATGACTGCAAACATTATAAGGGTGGCCTCTGTGACACATAAACGGAACCTAAGAGTTTTTCATTTGATAATATCCGTTTTATTCTTTCCAGACATCACTTGTAAAGTTGGAGTGATGCACCCTCATCTCTATGTAGCTGGACTCCCAAGAGCAAATGAAACAATGAAGACTGGACATAAATTACGGTTTCAATGCAGTGATCAATACACATTGTATGGGTCTGAGGAAATTGAATGTTTACAAACTGGGCAGTGGAATACTCTCTTTCCAACTTGTGATGGTATGTTCACTTTGGTTGGTTAACCCTGTATACGTTGATTTTACCCCCTTAGTTTATCCATCTTTTAAAGCACTTGAACAACTTGAATATTAATTCTCATAGAAAATGGTAAAAATTGATGGGAATAAGATGAGGACAAAAATAAACATTCAGAAATATTTTATGGTTGATTAGCGAGATAAGAGACACAGGATGTTGACATGTGAGTTTCATTAGATACATTAAGTACAAAGTGTAAGAACAGGTCAAAGCAAAAGTTGAATATTACAGGCGTTTTCATCATATGTACCTTTTCCCCTCAAGAACCTACATTTACATATTTGAATTAACATATTTTGAAGAATAACATACAAGCATCAGATCTGTATATAAAACAATAATTAAACCTGCAATTATAAAAAATTTTGGTCACTTGGGGGGACATGGTGGTACAACACTGACCATCATCTTTTAAGTTGATATAGTGAACTTCTTAGCAAAGAGTTGCCTATTTAAACATGCAGCTAACATACAGCGATATTTGCATTTTTTTAGACTTGTGTTTATGACCACCTGGCAAATTAATCCAATATTCAAGCACCTTATTTCTCTGTTTTGGTCTCCACTAACTTATAATGAAAATATTTGGCTCTTAAGCTACTAAATACTCCATTTTCATTGCTAATTGCTTACAATGTCTGCTGTTTGGTGCTGGCAGTTAACAGTAAGTATTTAGGGCTTTTTTGCTGAAACCCCTTCTTGCTGATGACGATAACAGTGCTATGAGAGCAGTGAGAATGAAACAAAAATGCTGCTGGCCAGAAAATCAGCAGAGAACTAAACATACTCTAAACCTCTGCAGAGCTGAGGGGAACTGCAGCGTTGGGTGATAATTCTATGTAGATTCATCACTATGACCACAAAAAGTAGTCATGTGAACCATTTTTATATGGAAATATTGATTATGGACTGTTTAATAAAAAAGAAACATCTAAGTAGATTTAAACTTTAGTAAAAAGACGTCCCCATGTACTCGTACTGTATCTTTGTATAATTCAAATAAGCTGTAAATGTACATGCATTGGAGGTAAAGTTACAAAGATTTGGACCTATAAGATTTACATCAGATTTGGGTCCGTGAAACCCAAAAAGTCAGATCTTTAGTCAAGTATGCTACTGTTTATACTAAATAAACCTCTTCATGAAACAGATTCTCTTACAGACAAATGCAAAGTCACACATGTACCAGCCAACGTATACATCTCCGTACATGTACCAAACAATCAACTAAGAAAAGGACAAAAGTTAAGGTTTGAGTGCAGACAGAGAGGACACTTTCTTCGCGGAAATGCATCGGTTGAATGTTTAGCAAACGGACAGTGGAGTGACCCCTTCCCAACATGTGGACGTAAGTCACTTCTTTCGTTGTCCCCTTACTCCTTATTTAGGTAAATGATGGAACAAGATGATCCATGACTCAACTTTCGGATGGTTACCACAGTGCACTACAATCTCAGAAGGCTTGATCTGCTGTTTTCCCTGCTACCCTGACCTGATGTGTATTGTCTTTGTGCCTCTTGTGTTGTTGACATTTACATTTTAAAATTCAAAGGCAATAAAATATGTCATCTGTCACTCTGCGTGAAAATGTCATAATTTCTCCACAATAATAATGAACCTGTACTTTCTCCGACATTTGTCACATTCTTTTAGCTCCTTTGGGTTGTAGGAGACCACCGCCCCTTACAGATGGAGATATCAAGGACAGTGTTCGATTCCAGTACAGACATGAAGATAGGGTTGAATATGTCTGTCCGAACTTTTACATTATGCAGGGTGGACCTTACAAAACCTGCAAAAATGGTGAATGGGTTGGACAGATGAGATGCCTCAGTAAGTTTCCTTTTCCTACTGCATTCTGTGAGGATTTTGCATAATGTCAAACAGATTTTTGTTTCCAGTGTTTGCATGTAGCAGTTTGATTTATGTCAACATACATACATAATCATTATACAGACCCATTACACAAGGACTAAAGACTAATAAACAAACACATAGTGTTTGGTGAAAATGTAGTTAAAACAGGAATGTGACTTTTTGGAATCTGTTTAATCTTTTAAAAAGACTATGTCTTAGAAATTTCCATGAGATAACATGTAAAATCATTACAGAGAGACAAACAACTAGTCAGCTAAAGGTACATCAAGTCAAACCTAGATGCTAAGATAGTCTTAGCTAAAGCTAAAGCTAAATTTACCTACTATTTTTCCCTAGATGTTATCTGTAATTGACAGAAAGTCAATGATCACAATAAAGTTTATATTATTTAAAAATGAACAGTTTAAATGGACAATGAAAGGCAAAAGAACACATTATGTTTGTAGATAGTGTTTCCGTTTGAATATCTGCATTTTTTTTTTGTTTGTTTTATGTACTATTATTATTTATATTATTTTTTATTATTGCTAAAAAGAGATATGAAATCAAGGCAATATTACCTTTCTATTTATTTCACAATTTGCTGGTCAGTAATACTGTATATGTAGAGTATCGTAATAGAATATGTTTCCAATTACATTTGGGACTACATATTTAGTTTCCAAGTACACAATGTTTTTTTAAGTTCAAGACTAGAAATAATTATATATGGTGCATGCTGTACAGTCGTTCCTGACATTAAAAAATATATATATTTATCTGTTATATCTTTCAGAACCCTGCACTGTGGATAAAGAAGCCATGAGAAGTCACAATATTGTCTTCAGATATTCAGCTGATGATAAGCTGTATTTAACACATAATGATGTAATCGAGTTTATGTGTATCAGAGGAAGAAGACATGATGGAGTAAAGGAGATGCGCCAGAAGTGTGTTGACGGTGTGATGCACCTGCCCACTTGCCAGTAAAAGTTTATAAATCAACTGAATATAATATGATAAACATGAGCTGGTTCAACAAACATGTAAATGATTAATCAAAGTAAAGAGTTAGACCAGTATCTATACTTCCTGTGTGTTGTAATTTTAATAAAGCACAGCTTTTCACTTTGTCTGTTTTCAGCCTCCAGAATCATAAGCATGTAGCCGATTAAATGTGTTATGGTAGGAACGTCTTGTTGGCATATGATGTTAAAAAGACTACACCACCATTTATATATTTAATTTGATTTCCCAACATCTGATCCTGGCAACAAAAGCATAATTAACATGTTTATAGTTATGTAAAGGGACTTAAAGCACTTGGACATTGTTACAAAAATATTCTGGTCTTGGTTAACAGATAATGCTGATGTTATTCTATATTTTTGTTATCAAAAAATTTCATGAAAAGATCAAAAACAACCATGAGTGGACTGGCCATCGGGAATTTTGGGAACAATCCCGAATGACTGGTCCATTGCAGGCAGTTTCTAATGTTCAGCTGGGCCAAACCAATACTTTCAGTATTGAAGGGGAAAACAACAACGCGGGCGATCCTCGTTTTTGCTCAGATCTAATTGGCTCAACGGTGCTGATGTGACAAGCACAACAGAGAAGGTAAACATGTCGAAAAGAAAGAAAGACGCAAAAGAAATGTGTGGTGCCGAAAAATTAAGAATTTAGAAGAAAGAAATGTTGGTATGAGAGGCAGCTAAATGTGTCTAATTAACCGACCTCTTAGTTGGTGGAAAGGTGCTATAGCAGGCACAGATGAGGCAGTACCCAGCACAGGCACTGATAAGTAATGCATTTATTATAACCTGAGATTATTTATACGCATTTATGGCTATATATACATATAGGCTATATTATATATTTATATACAGCTCTGGAAAAAAATTAAGAGACCATTGCAAAATTATCAGTTTCTCTGGTTTTACTTTTTATAGGTATGTGTTTGATTAAGATAAAGATTTTTGTTTTATTCTACAAACATTCTGACAACATTTCTACCAAATTCCAAATAAAAATGTTGTCATTTGATTACTTGTTTTAAGAAAATGACAACTGGTCAAAATACTAAAAAAGATGCATTGTTTTCAGACCTCAGAAAATGCAAAGAAAACAAGTTCACATTAATTCTTTAATTAAAATCTTTAAACAACACAATACTAATAAATCAATATTTGCTGGGATAACCCTGATTTTTAATTACAGCTTTCATGCGTTTTGGCATGCTCTCCACCTGTCCTTCACATTGCTGTTGGGTGACGTTATGCCATTCCTGGCGCAAAAATTCAAGCAGCTCAGCTTTGTTGGATGGCTTGTGACTCTCCATCTTCCTCTTGATCAAATTCCAGAGGTTTTCAATGGGGTTCAGGTCTTAAGATTGGGCTGACCATGAAAAGATCTCGATCTGGTCGTCCACCTTCCATACCTTGATTATCTGGCTGTGTAGCAAGAAGCATTGTCCTGCTTTAAAAACCAATCCTCAGAGTTGAGAAACACTCTCAGAGCAGAGGGAATCAGGGTTTTTTTCCAGGATAATCTTGTAAAATGTGTGATTCATTTGTCCTTCACAAACAGAAATCTGCCCAATTCCAGCCTTACTGAAGCACCCCCAGATCATCACTGATCCTCCACCAAATTTAACAGTGGGTGCTTGAAGGCCTCTCCAGGTCTCCATCTAACCATTAGACGACTAGATGTTGGGCAAAGCTGAAAATTGGACTCATCAGAGAAGAAGACCTTACTCCAGTCCTCTACAGTCCAATCCTTATGGTCTTTTTCAAACTTTGAAGGGCTTTTTTTCTAGCTTCGTCCGACTTCAGCCCTGCCTCTAGGAGCCTGTTTTGAACAGTCCTTGCTGTGCACTTCACCCCAGCTGCTGTTTGCCATTCTTTTTGTAAATTACTTGATGTCATCCTATGGTTTTTCAGTGACATTCGAATGAGTTGGCGGTCAATTTTGCCTAGTTAACAAGTTGCTGAAAGTGTAGTTAAAACAGGAATCTGACTTTTTGGAATCTGTTTAATCTTTTAAAAGACTATGTCTTAGAAATTTCAATGAGATAACATAAAATCATCACAGACAAACAACTAGTCAGCTAAAGGTACATCAAGTCAAACCTAGATGCGAAGATAGGTAGTCTTAGCTAAAGCTATGGCTAAATTTACCAACTATTTATCACTAGATGTTATCTGTAATTGACAGAAAGGACACTCCAGTTAAAGTTAATTAGGTTTGGGTCCGGAAAGCCTTTAAATACCTTTAAATCACATATTTACATGCATTTAAATGGTAGATTATTGATTTTGATATACTTTAAATTAAAACACAGCTAACTATGGGTTGTAAATGATCACAATAAAGTTTAGATTCTTTACAAATGGAAAATGAAAGGCGAAAGAACACATTTTGTTTGTAGATAGCGTTTTCCTTAGAATATCTGCATTTTTTTATGTTTTATGTAGGCACTTTCTCTAAAAAGAAATGAAATTATGGCAATATTTCTTTTCTATTTGTTTCACAATTTGCTGGTCAGTAATACTGTATACGTATGTAGAGTATCGTAATAGAATTTGTTTCCAAGTACATTTGGGACTACATATTTAGTTTTCAAGTACGCAATGTTTTTTTATTCAAGACTAGAAATACAGTAATTATATATGGTGCATGCTGTACAGTCGTTCCTGACATAAAAAAAAAATTATATTTACCTGTTATCTCTTTCAGAACCCTGCACTATGGATAAAGAAGCTATGATAAGTCTTAAGGTTAAGTGACCTGAGATGGATGGACAAACATGTAAATGATCGACAAGACAATTTATAACGTACGAGCTGATCTTCTATATCTACTTCAGTTCTGCCAACTGTGACGTTTTTAATAAAACATATCACTCAGTCTGTTTTCTTCTTCCACAATCATATATATATTTTAGGAGAGAAAACATCTATACACATTTCTGCATCAAGAATTTAGTTAAATAGATCCGACACTAATTTCTACGTATTAGTCAACAGTTGCCTATAGAGGATTTATTTTTAATGTATTCAACAAAACATCCATGTTTTAGAAAACATAGGGACAATGTATTTTGTGTAGCACACATTTAAACACATTTTACACATTTAAAGTACTGTATTTTAATTCCATTTTATTCTACCTTACACTGCAGCTCTACTATATTTCAGAGGCGAAATGTTGTACTTCTAATCCCACATCTATAGTACCTTGTGACTTTTCTAGGGCTGACCCCGAATAGTCGAAGATTCAATGCTTCGATGGGCAGAGCCTGATTCAGCTGTCAATCTGACAGTCGAATCTTCACAACGGAAATGAGGATCCGTTGTGAAGCTTCACCATTTTGGCGATATGGGGGTGCTTAACGTCTGCTTATAAATAGAAATACCAGTTTTCTCCCAATAAGGTAATGTGCTGCTTATTACAATATACACTTCAACATATAATGCTGTAAATAAAAATGTGAAAAGAAAGAAGCTTTTAATAAATGTTTTTAAACTTTGTAAATAAATCCAAAATTCTAACGTTAACCCTTGAGGAAGGGGTTCTCAGTGCGCATGTGTGGGCGTAATGTGGATGTGTGTAGTGGCAGAAGAGGAACACCTGCTGAAGAGACGGAGCCCCAACTACTAAACCTTAGGAGATTATCACTGTTCAAGGCTTAAATTCAAATTATCTGTACAAATTACTTTTATTTTTCTTCCATGAATCATCTCACGATCCCTTAGATTTGTCTTGTGACCCTGTAAGATGGGGCCTGAACCCTAGGTTAGGAATCAATCACCAAACACTTTATAAAGTAGTTTGAACTAGCTCTACCTCAACCAACTGCAAAAGCAAAATACATTGTAGTATCAGTACATTTACAAAGGTACAAAGTACCACTTTCACCACAGTATATATGCAGTATGCTTTAAAGTCTTCCTGCCATTACCAAAATGTGTCCATTATCTCCTGCACAGTGAATGGTGATATCATGAGGAAACATAATACTGCATTCAAATTTAGCCATGACAGAAAGCCAGTATTCAGCCCATGGTAATGAACTTGAGGTCAGGTGTACCAAAGGAAGACCTATTGGTACAGTGGGCTTGTGTGGGTTTTGATGGTGTGATCATCCTGTCCTCTTGCCAGTAAAAGCTTTAGTTAACTGGAAGTGACATGAGCTGGCTGGACAAATATGTAAATGATTAACCAGAGGAAGAAGAGTATTGTTGAACAGTTATGCATCAATGATCTGTCCGCAATTTTAATTTCAATAAAACTTACAGTAAATTAACAGTTTTCATAGATAACATCTATCTGCAGGTGATTGCTCACTGGATTAAAATAGGTCTTGGGCTCTTTAATAATGTAGTGGCAAAGACAAAGTCTTAACATAACTGCATGGCAGACAGCTTGCCTATTGCTTGGAAACATAGAAGTTCAGGGAGCTAATGTGATGGTAGCATGTCCTGTCATGCTGGTGTGTTAGATGTTAGCTGTTTAGATACAGTAGCTGACAAACTAGCCTTGAAAGTTGTTGCACCATCACCAAGCTTCAAAGAATCAGAGATAATCTTATGGCAAAAGTCCAAGAAATCATTGTGCTGTTGTCGGGAGTAGCTCCCTAAGCAGAGTTTCAGTGGCTAAGTCAATGTTTGTCCCTCGACATTTCTGCTAATCAGAGTATTTCTTCCCATTGGAACTGCACACATTTGAAGAAAAACTGTACATCCTTGTTCTCTCTGAAATGTATTTACCAACACACAAACTCAGTTGTGTGCAAAGGGCACAAAAACTTTGCCTTTGCCTCATGGACAGCTTCACCTGCAGGCCACAAGATTGTTAAACTCATGAGCTCTATGACACTCCACTCACACTGCACTGATCCATGGATGTCACTTTACACTTACTACATTATACTACTGCTATATTTACTGTAGTTACTTAATGTTTACAACCTGTTTACATCTCAGCATATTACTACCTGTGCATAACTGTACACATCACAGCATATATATTTATTTTACTGTCTGTTTACCTGTCTAATGTATATGAGAGCATGTGTCGTGTTGCATGAGAGTATGTGTTGAGAGATGTTAATTTTCTGTATTTTGTGTTGTCTTTGTAAAACTGCAGGACGGAGTACTAAACCAATTTTCCTTCGGGGACAATAAAGTATATCTTATCATACTACATTTTAATAAGCAGTTTATGAGCTTATGATCCATCAAGTGCATATTTATTCATCACAGTAAATATATTTATATGCATACTTGTCTAGAATCTCATTATGTATATACACTACTGCACAACCTGTTTACATTGCAGTTTAGCAATTTTACTATTACTGACCAGGCTGCCACAGTATTATATTTACTTCATATTTAATTTATATTATATAAAAATGATTCCTATATTTTAGCTGCTGCACCATCATTGATTCTTGTTAGATTTTGTTTTACTTATATGAGATCTAAGAATTTCATTGCCAGCGACTGCTTCACTGTAATTGTTGTGTGCATTCAAACTATGTACATTTTATAAATCATTTTGTCTGTTTGTTTATTGAATATGACTTTTGAACTTATAAACAAACATGTTATGTGATGATGTACAAAGTTCTGTCATTATGAACAATTATTGGGGGGGTGCTGTTTAAGTTACACAGTGCAGTTATGCAGTTATTCTTCTCCAGTGAAAATATCAATAAAGCTGTATTCTGCCTCTTCGTGTGTGTCATATTACAAGAGTAAATGTCAACAAATTGTATTTTTAAGCACAAGGCTAAACAGATTTTAATTTAATATACCAAGTTAAACCATAATTGCAAAATACTGTCTATTGAGGTTTATTTACATTTCTAATCTCACTTGTTGTTTTGTGAAACTGTGACCCAAATTTATTTGTATTAGCAGTTGAATACAGTTTCTAGAGCAGTGTGCCTTTTAAAATATGAGTTATACCATTATTTCATAATATAATGATTTTGTGCTGGTTGTAATTTATGCTTTATTATTATATATATATATTATAATTATTGTGTGTGAATGTGTGTGTGTGCATGCATGTTTGCTTGTGTGTGTTAGAGGGAGGATTTTGGGATAGGTTCCCATGTTTCTAAGACTTGCAAACATGTGTGTTTGTCACTGCACTGAAAGACTTTCATCTGTATATCTCTGAGGGGGAAAACATTAACTGAGCCACAGAGTGGAGAATTCCTTCAAAATGAGACTCTTTCACCTCCTTTGGCTTTTTGTCCTGTGGCTGAACTTGAATAAATCTTTCCAGCAGAATGGTAAGAATGTCGGATTTTCTCTGTTGTTTTACTGCAGTTAGAAAACAACAATCATGCATATCTTTGTATCAGTAAATGCAAGTGGCCTAAGAGACCATCTGAAAAGAAAACCTTTTTATTGCAAAAGCAAAAGTACTGTTTTTCAGAAATAGCATTAGACAGACATGATTTACAGAATGCAAATGTTGTCAGCAATAACAAGAAAAAATACAGATGGAAAGAGTCACATATGTATGCAAGGATGGATATGTAGGATGTTTTAATTAAACCTGCCAGGAAATAGACTTTGCTGATACTTTTTATTCTGTTGTGTTTTTTAACCCCTGTTTTTTATGCATGCACTACAGTTGTTCTTTAACCTGAGTGGCCAAACCAGGCTTATTAACTCCTAGAAATGTCCATAAAAATAACTAACTAATAATAAAAATGTAAACTGTCGTCATTGGAAAGGACCAGGTATGAACCTGCTTTCAGAACAGAACTTTTTCATGAACAAATGCAGTTATTTTCTTTTATGTATTCTCCAACAGAGATAAAATGTACAATACCCATTATTGAGAATGGTTATGTGCTTGGAGACATCCAAGTGTACAGAGAACATGATGTCCTGCATTTTGTGTGCAATGCTAAATATAAATCTGCTGAAAACAGAACTTCAAAATGCACAAAACTAGGAATAAGAGCAGACTGGATCCCCACACTGTGTGTGAATGTGAAACTGAGTAATCAAATTTGTTGGTTCTATCTCACACAGGTTCCCACCTCTACTGGACTCTATGGGTACTGCCTCCACCAATAACAGGCACGCACGTGCCCACTGAAATTTTTATCGTGCAAGCAGCTGACCAATAGGGCATCGCTACCGATATGTGCGTGACCTATAAATAGCAGTGTCCCTACTGCCTCAGCATCCTTTTTTTTTCAGCTTCGGCGAAATGCTCTGGGTGGTGATAGCACAATAGACCCAGGTTCAATTCCCCACTGTGACACGTCCACCAATGTGTCCCTGAGCAAGACACTTAACCCCTAGTTGCTCCAGAGGCGTGCAACCTCTGACATACTGTATGTAGCAATTGCAAGTCACCTTACAAAAGCGTCAGCTAAATTAATATTTGTAAGTATGTATGGATGCCTTCTTCCCCACACACACATTTGCACACTGGTCAGCTATTCGTCTCTTCGGTTCATCAATCAGTAAAACCCTGTCCAAGAAGAGTCTGGCCAGCTGGCTTCGTGAGTGAACGCCCAAGCCTGTACACTGGCAGGAAAAGATGCACACTCAGTGGTGTGTGCACATTCCACTTGGAGTGTGTCGAAGAGATCTGCACAATAGCACTGTGGCCCTTACCGAGCCCGTTTGCGCTTTTCCATCTCTTGGATATGTCAAGCTCCTTCTCGGGATCCGTGCATACAAAGTGCGACCTAGGATAAAGTTAGGATTCGATGACGACTGGGTGTATAGGAGAACAGACATTGGCGGTGCCCGACGTTTCAGTGAGAAGTCAGGGCAGTCCAGGTGTTAATGGTCAGGCCAAACCCCTATCGGTCCAGCAACCTTCTCAGGGGTGGCCCACCATTCTCTCACTAAAGTGATGTGGTGGTTGGGGCTTTGGCCAGACTGTGGCTGACCAGGTTGGTGTGGTAGACTTTGGCTTGTCACTGCTAGGACGGACAGTCATCGGGCTCCACCCACTGTAACGTCCAGTAGAGGGCGGAGCCTGTGTGAGATAGAACAAAGCTTCTAAAATGGTAACCCTACATGCAATGATGATGGAGAATGGACTCTCAGACCAATATGCCTAGGTATAAAACTACATGATTCAGGGCCAGATTATGCGATTGTTGTTGTTACTGTGTGTGTGGTTCATTAATCTGTGATGATGATTATTAATATTATCTCAATTTACTTTACATTCACAAGACTTTCTCTTATTGTAGAGGTTATATGCAGCAATCCACGAGATAACCTTGTGTATTACTGGTATGACAATTGGAGGCAACCAACAAAATTGGATGAGACTGTACGTTATACGTGTAGGTCAGGCTACAGGAGTACAGATGGCGCCACACGGGCCACATGCACCAGAGAGGGGTGGAGACCAAATCCACTTTGTCAAGGTACAGTGATATTAATGTTGTGTTTATGACATTAATATTAATTTTGTATCCATATTTGTGAAAGTGAGGAAGGATCCCTTTACTTTACTGGGGGTGGTGAGTGGAAGACAAATGCCTTTGGTGTGGGAGACCGGGTTTGCTTCCCATTGTGACATCCACCAATGTGTCCCTGAGCAAGACACTTAACCTCTAGTTGCTCCAGAGGCATGTGACCTCTGATATATATATTAACTGTAAGCCGCTATGGAGAAAAGCGTCAGCTAAATGTAAAATGAATTAATTAAAAATTATTATTTATTTATTAATTAATTAATAATGACTTTATCTACGCTGAAAAAGTCCTAGGATGAGCAATTATACTCTAACTAATTCAGTAACTACAAGTCAGTATTTCAGTATTTACAGTCACTTCATCACACTATTAATATGTCCTGGTCCCAGTTTAGGATGTTTATTGAAACATGGCTTCATTAGCTAGTTGTTTCAGTGTACATGCTAAAGTTGGAAAATAACCACAAACTAGTGACAAGTTGTTCAACAGATGTGTCTGTGCTTATATGTACCAACCATAGTCTGTCGTACAAACTTGTGTGAAATAAATGTGTAGAGTTGTGTATAATTGCATTTTGTTTTTCAGAAATAACATGCAGCCGACTGGAGATCGCAAATGCAATTCTCAACGATGACAGGCAGATATACAAAAACTATGAAAAGGTCAATTATGTCTGCGAGAAAGGTTATCGAGGAAGTCCAAATCGAACCTGTGGGGAAAATGGTTGGAGAGGCGATTCACAGTGTACAGGTAAGGAAGTACAGAACAGCATTAAAAACGCAGTTTTAAAAATCTTATCCAAACTGTGTCAAACATAGTAACTTCCCATCAACGTCAAATACAGTGGCTTCTAGATCATTCAGCTAGAAAACAGTTAAACTTCTGTCTGATAAATAAAAGTAAGCTCAAGAAGGTAACCCAAGCTTCTAAAATGGTAACCCTAGTTGTATAAGCACAGGCGGAGCCCTCTACCGATGAGCCCTACTGCTCCGACACTGTCTGCTGAAGAGGCAGTCGGATGCTGAGGCACTGGGGCACTGCTATTTACACGTCACTCGCGTATCGATAGCAACGTCCTAAATAAAAGTTTCAGTGGGCAAGTGCGTGCATGTGATTGGAGGAGGTAGTACCCATAGAGTCCAGTAGAGGGCTCTGCCTGTGCTTACGGAACTAGGGTTACCATTTTGGATCCGTTGTTATATCACACTGTCTAGTGAAAATTAGTGGTGGATGGATGTAATGGTGCCATAATGTGCATTGTTACAGCAAACTAATAGATATAATGCTTTGCTTTCCAACAAATGCAGCACTGAAATGCAAATTGCCATCAACGCCACTAGGAACCAGGTATGAACCCCCTTACAGAAATGTGTTTTCACCTGGTGACACAATAAGAGTCATTTGTGGAGAGAAGTACGGGATTTCTAACCATCGAGACCCCTCAGCAGTAACTACATGCGATGATGATGGAGAATGGACTCTCAGACCAATATGCCTAGGTATAAAACTACATGATTCAGGGCCAGATTATGCGATTGTTGTTGTTACTGTGTGTGTGGTTCATTAATCTGTGATGATGATTATTAATATTATCTCAATTTACTTTACATTCACAAGACTTTCTCTTATTGTAGAGGTTATATGCAGCAATCCACGAGATAACCTTTTGTATTACTGGTATGACAATTGGAGGCAACCAACAAAATTGGATGAGACTGTACGTTATACGTGTAGGTCAGGCTACAGGAGTACAGATGGCGCCACACGGGCCACATGCACCAGAGAGGGGTGGAGACCAAATCCACTTTGTCAAGGTACAGTGATATTAATGTTGTGTTTATGACATTAATATTAATTTTGTATCCATATTTGTGAAAGTGAGGAAGGATCCCTTTACTTTACTGGGGGTGGTGAGTGGAAGACAAATGCCTTTGGTGTGGGAGACCGGGTTTGCTTCCCATTGTGACATCCACCAATGTGTCCCTGAGCAAGACACTTAACCTCTAGTTGCTCCAGAGGCATGTGACCTCTGATATATATTAACTGTAAGTCGCTATGGATAAAAGCGTCAGCTAAATGAAAAATGAATTAATTAAAAATTATTATTTATTTATTAATTAATTAATAATGACTTTATCTACGCTGAAAAAGTCCTAGGATGAGCAATTATACTCTAACTAATTCAGTAACTACAAGTCAGTATTTCAGTATTTACAGTCACTTCATCACACTATTAATATGTCCTGGTCCCAGTTTAGGATGTTTATTGAAACATGGCTTCATTAGCTAGTTGTTTCAGTGTACATGCTAAAGTTGGAAAATAACCACAAACTAGTGACAAGTTGTTCAACAGATGTGTCTGTGCTTATATGTACCAACCATAGTCTGTCGTACAAACTTGTGTGAAATAAATGTGTAGAGTTGTGTATAATTGCATTTTGTTTTTCAGAAATAACATGCAGCCGACTGGAGATCGCAAATGCAATTCTCAACGATGACAGGCAGATATACAAAAACTATGAAAAGGTCAATTATGTCTGCGAGAAAGGTTATCGAGGAAGTCCAACTCGAACCTGTGGGGAAAATGGTTGGACAGGTGATTCACAGTGTACAGGTAAGGAAGTACAGAACAGCATTAAAAACGCAGTTTTAAAAATCTTATTCAAACTGTGTCAAACATAGTAACTTCCCATCAACGTCAAATACAGTGGCTTCTAGATCATTCAGCTAGAAAACAGTTAAACTTCTGTCTGATAAATAAAAGTAAGCTCAAGAAGGTAACCCAAGCTTCTAAAATGGTAACCCTAGTTGTATAAGCACAGGCGGAGCCCTCTACCGATGAGCCCTACTGCTCCGACACTGTCTGCTGAAGAGGCAGTCGGATGCTGAGGCACTGGGGCACTGCTATTTACACGTCACTCGCGTATCGATAGCAACGTCCTAAATAAAAGTTTCAGTGGGCAAGTGCGTGCATGTGATTGGAGGAGGTAGTACCCATAGAGTCCAGTAGAGGGCTCCGCCTGTGCTTACGGAACTAGGGTTACCATTTTGGATCCGTTGTTATATCACACTGTCTAGTGAAAATTAGTGGTGGATGGATGTAATGGTGCCATAATGTGCATTGTTACAGCAAACTAATAGATATAATGCTTTGCTTTCCAACAAATGCAGCACTGAAATGCAAATTGCCATCAACGCCACTAGGAACCAGGTATGAACCCCCTTACAGAAATGTGTTTTCACCTGGTGACACAATAAGAGTCATTTGTGGAGAGAAGTACGGGATTTCTAACCATCGAGACCCCTCAGCAGTAACTACATGCGATGATGATGGAGAATGGACTCTCAGACCAGTATGCCTAGGTATAAAACTACATGATTCAGGGCCAGAGAAAGATTATGCGATTGTTGTTGTTACTGTGTGTGTGGTTCATTAATCTGTGATGATGATTATTAATATTATCTCAATTTACTTTACATTCACAAGACTTTCTCTTATTGTAGAGGTTATATGCAGCAATCCACGAGATAACCTTGTGTATTACTGGTATGACAATTGGAGGCAACCAACAAAATTGGATGAGACTGTACGTTATACGTGTAGGTCAGGCTACAGGAGTACAGATGGCGCCACACGGGCCACATGCACCAGAGAGGGGTGGAGACCAAATCCACTTTGTCAAGGTACAGTGAAGTTAATGTTGTGTTTATGACATTAATATTAATTTTGTATCCATATTTGTGAAAGTGAGGAAGGATCCCTTTACTTTACTGGGGGTGGTGAGTGGAAGACAAATGCCTTTGGTGTGGGAGACCGGGTTTGCTTCCCATTGTGACATCCACCAATGTGTCCCTGAGCAAGACACTTAACCTCTAGTTGCTCCAGAGGCATGTGACCTCTGATATATATATTAACTGTAAGTCGCTATGGATAAAAGCGTCAGCTAAATGAAAAATGAATTAATTAAAAATTATTATTTATTTATTAATTAATTAATAATGACTTTATCTACGCTGAAAAAGTCCTAGGATGAGCAATTATACTCTAACTAATTCAGTAACTACAAGTCAGTATTTCAGTATTTACAGTCACTTCATCACACTATTAATATGTCCTGGTCCCAGTTTAGGATGTTTATTGAAACATGGCTTCATTAGCTAGTCGTTTCAGTGTACATGCTAAAGTTGGAAAATAACCACAAACTAGTGACAAGTTGTTCAACAGATGTGTCTGTGCTTATATGTACCAACCATAGTCTGTCGTACAAACTTGTGTGAAATAAATGTGTAGAGTTGTGTATAATTGCATTTTGTTTTTCAGAAATAACATGCAGCCGACTGGAGATCGCAAATGCAATTCTCAACGATGACAGGCAGATATACAAAAACTATGAAAAGGTCAATTATGTCTGCGAGAAAGGTTATCGAGGAAGTCCAACTCGAACCTGTGGGGAAAATGGTTGGAGAGGCGATTCACAGTGTACAGGTAAGGAAGTACAGAACAGCATTAAAAACGCAGTTTTAAAAATCTTATCCAAACTGTGTCAAACATAGTAACTCCCCATCAACGTCAAATACAGTGGCTTCTAGATCATTCAGCTAGAAAACAGTTAAACTTCTGTCTGATAAATAAAAGTAAGCTCAAGAAGTGTGAAACTGCAAGTCATGGGTCATTGACAACTGCTTTTATGATGTATGAAAACCTTCAGCTGATGAGATGAGAAAGGAGATCAGTTATGTGTCCAGTCTTTAGCATGTAATGTGAAAAACTTGCCTTGCCTAAGCTCAAAGCCATGAAAAAGCATGTTGACCCTTTATTGCTACTTTGATTAAATAATGGAGACACTGAAACAATAGGCTATAATCCTCCCTCATACATCAAGTTGTATGCATCATTTTAATGCTCATTTAATGCTAATGTGGCTGCCACCACAACACAAATACATGTATAAACAATATGCAATTCAATTTTAGAATTATATACTACATAGAGGCAAGGCGGTCTATGTATTACTAATTAGCTCAGCTAGGCAGGAAGGTGCAAGTCCATGCAAGGTAAGTTAAAAGGAGGCCTTTTAAGTCAGCTCTAGCTTGCACTTGTAACCAGTGAAGAGAGGTCAGAATAGGTTTTATATGGTCAGATTTTCTAGTTTTTGTCAGGATTCCGGCAGCTGCGTTTTGGACAAGTTGAATAAATATATGAACACTCAAAAACAGTTCCAGTGACTTCAGATTATTGGGAAAGGAATCACTTAAAGTGAAAACCACAAAGGATCTGTTTTTGGGGGGGGGTTCTAAACCACAGTGATGACACAACCAATATCATATTTTATCATTCAACTATTTCAGAATATCACTCTGAATTTAAAACTGATAAATAGGACTTAAAATTTTACATTTCTGAAGGTTATACATTTTTATATTTTGAGAGGTTTTTTTTAAATGTTCCATATGAATGTGCTCAGAAATTGTGGAAACAAACAATCACATGTGTGTTGTGTTGAATCATTTCTACTTTATGCTCTGTCCATCCCATCAAAAAGGGCTTGTCTGCCCTCAAAACGAGTATCAGATTTCATGTTTTTAATATTTCAGCCTGGACCAAAGTGGTGGGCCAACAGACAGACCAACTTTATCAATTTAGCAATCTTTTGATTATTGCTATCTGAATATGACTTCTTTCTCTGTTTTTCATTATTACCCTTATACAGTGTGGTTTTGTAAAGTTTTTGATAATATCATATTTATTTGCAGCAATATACAAACCTACCTATTTCTAATTGTATCCACTCTAGATGAAAAAAAATGTGGAGAAATTCCTGTTATTCCTAATAGTGAAGTGCCACTTCAAGACAATGATTATCGAGATGGCGAACGCTTCCAGATTAAATGCAAGGAAGGATACCATGCTCAGGATTTCTTAACTTGTCACAATGGAACATGGCGTTCAAATGAACCACTCGAAACAATATGTGCACGTGAGTCATCTTTAGTATTATATGATCAGATTTAAGTATAAAAAGATTACATGGTGTAACCTAATACTATATGTTTTACCCGTGTTCTCTTGCAGCTTATGCCAGTCATTGCAATCCCCCACCTAAAGTTCAGAATGCAGTTGTTGTGACTTCCTATCAGAAGAATTTCTTGTCTAACTCTGAAGTAACTTATAAGTGTCATGGGAAGTATACAATGGAGGGGGAGGATACGATTCAATGCATAGATGGGAAATGGGAGAAGAAGAACATTTACTGTACACATACATACATCCAAAAGCATTTTGCAAAGTCGCACCAATAGATTCCAGTTCTATTTCTGTGTGCATGAAGTATGTGTTTTACAATTCATATTTAAATTAATTAATTCGGCAGGCTTACATCCAAAGTGACATAATAAATGCAAAGTGACAAAGACATCAGACAAGGCATTTACAGTTTTTCTCCATTGCTTAAACACTATAAGCAGGCTTTTTAACTAAAATTTCAAAACCATAACTCCATTTAGATTTTTCCCCTAAACTCTACACACAAGTCCTTTGGTGTTGCCAAAGTATTTCACTGTCTTTGCGCACATATCACACAGCGTCATTATTACCTTCACAGCTAAGCCAGTGCCTGCTTTTACAGTCAGCCATAGATTTAGTATTCAATCGCGGGAAATGGAAAGGGCTGCAGCGGCTCACTTCAAAGAAGCTCCATCACAGAGAACTGATGGTGACAAGGACTTAGTTTCACATTTGAGGGAGGGCTATTTGTATAATGTAAAGATCTATCAGTACACAACAAACTAATAGAATGAACAGTTATTAGATGAGGTGCCTATGATCAAAATTATGAAGTTACTGTTTAAGGCAGGACACTTTTTACATGTAGGGGTCAGTTTTGAGATTTTTGTCTATTTTGCATTCATGTCTTCTTCTACTCTAATGGAACGAAAATTAACATAATTTAATAATAACTGTTTTATTAACGTGTAAAGTTATGGTTGGAAAGAATAAAGTTAGAAAGTTACCACCAGCAAATGAAACAATGAAGATTGAACATAAATTACAATTTAAATGTGATGATCAGTATGCACTGGACGGGTTTAAAGAAAGTGAATGTTTACAAACTGGACAGTGTAATGCCCCCTTTCCAACTTGTGCTGATATGTTCACTTTCATTAGAGGTTAATCCCACTAATGTTGATTTTACCTCCCTTAGTTCATCTTTTTAGACATGAATATTAATTCTCACAGAAGATAGTAAAAATTAGTGGGAAAAGATCTGGACGATAATATTGGTCAGCAGTGCAAATCAGCAGACTTTAGAGGGTCACTCATATCAATGTTTTGTAGCGGGCATTTCTAGGAAGAAACTCTGCATCAGACATCTTATCACAGGTTAAACCATAACTTGTTAGCATTTGTCATGCAAACTGGATAGTTCAAGTCATTTTAAACATGCACAAGAAAACAGTAGCATATGTTTTCAAAATACATATGTATTTCCTTGGATGAATTCATTAATGTGCTAGGCTATGTCCCTACATGCTACATGCACATTTAATAAGGTGCCAACTTTAATCAACAATAAATATTAATATAATAATAATAATAATAATAAGTATTTTACTATTATTATATTATGTCTTTGTTGTAATAGTAGGCTTGTAGTATTTTTAGTATTTTTAGTGTGAACGCACCCTAAATGTCTGAGAGCAGCCTTTCTAATCATTAAAGAGGATGGAATGCATACATGATGATTGAGATTACTTCAGACCCATCACACCAGTTCAACTGCATTAATTGTGACAAAATGAGTGCAAACGGCTGCTGACTTGCCTTGACTGTAAAATAAACCAGAGCATTCTCTTCATTCAGCACTGATCTGCTGTATTTCCTGTTGGTATATAGTAATAATAGTGGCTATTATGTAGTCTGCACATGTTATTCCAAAAGTATAGGCCTGTGATGACAGTTGTAGCACAATTGGGGCTAAAGGCTATTTGAGATAGATTTTACCTTATCATTTCTTGTAGGGACTGATGATGAACCCTCATCATGCTGAGGCTGAATTTATCGCCAGTTCACATGCAAAAGCAGCAAAAGTTAAATGTCTGTTGCCTCGACTTCTCCTCTCGCATCTAGAGTGGGAGGGACCAAGACGTTATGCGAGAATTCGAGAACGAGGGGTGGAGTCAAGGAGGCACAACCTGAGAAATTAGACAGGCCTCACGACTCAAGTTTCATTTGTTTGCCACAGTCCACTGCAATCTCAGAGGGCTGGCTTTGCTACATTTCTCTCCATTGCTTAATTTCATGTGAAACTTTTAGAACTGTGCCATAATCAAATACCTAAACTTGTACTTTATCTGCACCCATATATGTTTAGAGCTTGTGGATTGTGGGACACCACCAGTACTTGCAGATGGAGACCTCAAGTACACCATGAAAAGTAAATATAGCTATAACGAAACTGTTGAATACACGTGTCAGGAGTACTACACCATGGAGGGAGAGCCTTACAGAACCTGCCTGAATGGGGAATGGACCGGACATATGAGATGCCTCAGTAAGTTACAGTTCTCCCCGCACATAAAATTGCATTCTGTTCTTACTTAATTTTTAAATGTTTCCAGTGGTTGCATGTGACAGTTTAATATGAAACATGGAACGCCGGCTCCTACAAAATCCATTTATGTACTAGTTATTTACTTTATTAATCACATTGAAGGAAACATCATTTCTGTGTGATGGAACTAAAACCAGTCTGCAGAATACTGGAGAATACTGTCTGGAGATATTTCCCAGATCTAAAAAACCCAACTGTAGTGCATGCATAAACAAAAAGCGATAAAATATCACAATGACAACAAAAGCAACAACTTTAAAACAGTCGGTCTGTCTGTCTGTAATGAAACAAAATGAGTGGTCACTACATCACAAAGCTTTTTGATTAAAAAATTTCACAGATTGATTTCATTGTGGCACGTTGTCTCTAATGTGACCAGACCAGCCTACTAAAAGACTTTCAGGAAAAAACTGAGAGTAAATTCAATGCTAAAAAAGTCACTGCCAACACCGGGAAACATTTTGCATGCAGAATGCTTTACCGTCGTTCTTTCCATTAACACAATGCTATTTGTCCATTGTTTCTTGCAGAGCCCTGTGTTTTGAATGAAGACGACATCAGACAACATAATATTACTTTAAAATCAGGTGACAAAAAATATTTATCTCATGATGAAATGATCGAGTTCAAGTGTGCCAGAGGAATACCTGCCGGTGCAGTGGCAATGCGTCAGAGGTGTAATGGTGGTGTGATTCTCCTGCCAACTTGCCAGTGAGAGTTTCAGTTAACTGGAAGTTATTATTATGTTTAATCATTTGTGATTTAAATACAAATAAATCATATTTATTTGGTTTTATGTATGATTATAATCTCCTAATGTCAAATAATATTCAAAAAGTGAAACTTGTATAATGTATGCATTCATTCCACACAGACTGATATATTTCAAGTGTTCATTCCTTTTAATTTTGACGATTATAACTGACAACTAATGAAAACCCCAAAATCAGTATCTCAGAAAATTTGAATATTGTGAAAAGGTTGAATATTGAAGACACCTGGTACCACACTCTAATCAGCTAATTAACTCAAAACACCTGCAAAGGCCTTTAAATGGTCTCTCAGTCTAGTTCTGTAGGCTACACAATCATGGGGAAGACTGCCGACTTGACAGCTGTCCAAAAGACGACCATTGACACCTTGCACAAGGAGAGCAAGACACAAAAGGTCATTGCTAAAGAGGCTGGCTGTTCACAGAGCTCTGTGTCCAAGCACATTAATAGAGAGGCGAAGGGAAGGAAAAGATGTGGTAGAAAAAAAGTGTACAAGCAATAGCAATAACCGCACCCTGGAGAGGATTGTGAAACAAACCCCATTCAAAAATGTGGGGGAGATTCACAAAAAGTGGACTGCAGCTGGAGTCAGTGCTTCAAGAACCACCACGCACAGACGTATGCAAGACATGGGTTTCAGCTGTCACATTCCTTGTGTCAAGCCACTCTTAAACAAGAAACAGCGTCAGAAGTGCCTCGCCTGGGCTAAAGACAAAAAGGACTGGACTGCTGCTGAGTGGTCCAAAGTTATGTTCTCTGATGAAAGTAAATTTTGCATTTCCTTTGGAAATCAAGGTCCCAGAGTCTGGAGGAAGAGAGGAGAGGCACAGAATCCACGTTGCTTGAAGTCCAGTGTAAAGTTTCCACAGTCAGTGATGGTTTGGGGTGCCATGTCATCTGCTGGTGTTGGTCCATTGTGTTTTCTGAGGTCCAAGGTCAACGCAGCCGTCTACCAGGAAGTTTTAGAGCAATTCATGCTTCCTGCTGCTGACCAACTTTATGGAGATGCAGATTTCATTTTCCAACAGGACTTGGCACCTGCACACAGTGACAAAGCTACCAGTACCTGGTTTAAGGACCATGGTATCCCTGTTCTTAATTGGCCAGCAAACTCTCCTGACCTTAACCCTATAGAAAATCTATGGGGTGTTGTGTAGAGGAAGATGCGATATGCCAGACCCAACAATGCAGAAGAGCTGAAGGCCACTGTAATTCAGGCAAAGGGGGCCCCAACTAAGTATTGAGTGCTGTACATGCTCATACTTTTCAGTTGGCCAACATTTCTAAAAATCCTTTTTTTGTATTGGTCTTAAGTAATATTCTAATTTTCGGAGATACTGAATTTGGGATTTTCATTAGTTGTCAGTTTTTAGTCATCACAATTAAATGAAATAAAAATTTGAAATGTATCAGTCTGTGTGTAATGAATGAATATAATATCCAAGTTTCACTTTGTGAATGGAATTACTGAAATACATTTTTTTTTTTTGATGATATTCTAATTATATGACCAGCACCTGTATAACAGTTATTAATGTAGTAAAAACAGTTACAGTATGTACTGATGCACTTTAATGTTGTCAATACATATTAATAAAACATACACAATCTCTGTTTTCTGCCTCCACATATGCAGCCTAAGAGTAAAACTCAGCTTTTATTTCTTTAAGCACAAAGCTAACTAGATCAAACATTATTATTTTGAATTGTTTATTACTTAAAATGAAATAAATCACGTTTATTTAGTCGCTGTTTTTTTGGTTTAATGTATTTTTCTAATAGCGCTGTCGCCTCGCAGCAAGAAGGTCGTGGGTTCAAACCCCTTTCTGTGTGGAGTTTGCATGTTCTACCCGTTTCTCCATGGGTTCTCTCCGGGTGCTCTGGCTTCTTCCCACTGTCTAAAGACATGCGGACTAGGTTGATTGGTGACCCTAAATTGTCCTTAGGTGTGAGTTTGAGTGTGACCGGCTGTTGTTTGTCTATGTGTGGCCCTGCGGATGGATGGATGGATAGATGGATGTTTTATAATCTCCCAATGTCAAATTGTAATTACATAGTTATTATTGTAGTATAAGTATTAATTAATTACTAGTAGAGTAAAGCAAGAAGTATTTTCTGCCAAATCAATATAGGAGTTTCCAGCAGAATTAAATAATTATATAACACAATGATAATTAATACTGCACCAAAATATGTGTTTATTTTGAGTTCATAGTTTAACACTGCAAACACTTTAATCTAACAAATGCTTGCTGAGGTTGCTGTTATTTCTTTGCTCTGAGGTGATACGAGGAGGGATGCAATACTCCCTCTCTCCATCCGCTATTAGCAGAGACAGTAAAAGGGCAGAGGGGTTGTTTAGTTGAATATGTTGGTCTAGTCTGCCTGGCTAATTGATCCTTAATCTGACTGAGGTTTGCGCAAATTAGAATCTATATCCCTGACCATGGCTCTGAAATACCAGCACCAACTGTGATGGCTGATAAATCCATGGTGCTGAAGTAGCAGACAAATCTGCTCTTCTCCAAACTGTATACTATAAATATTCAATCCTATACTGTATTGTATAGTGTCACCTTCCTGATCAAAGTGACAAGTAGCAATGTGTACTCATGGTGTGCTCCTGTTGAGCCATCGCCCCTGTTAAGTATTTACAAAGAACTCATCAGAAAGCATGCTGTTTATCTGACAAAACAATCTCACCACAAGATCCAGCTGTTCTCAATCGTATCACATGATATTTATCAGCAGAGAAGAGTGTTCCCAGTTATCCTGAAATTTATGTTCAATTTTCCTTTCTTTTTAATAATGTTATTTTTTTATTTTTCTTAAATAATCACAGTAAGTGATTATACTAATGTATAATAATAAGCAAATTCATGAAAATGATATAAAATAAACAAAACCAAATACTATTTGAGTATTTAAAGAAATATTAAGACATTTTGGGAAATATTTTATTAACTTTCTGGCTGAAAGTAAGAGGTAAAGACAGTCCACCACTCTTATGTCCTCCTACTTCTTTACTATTCTCAGCAATTACATGAAAGATGATACCGATTGAGGATTATTTGCATTCACTAGCATAAAACCTTAATAAAAATTACAGTCCAAATGTGTAGAAAAGATGCACACAAATGTAAAGGTCTAGAATGATTCTATGAGTAGTCAACCAAATTGTCTAAACAAGGTAATAACAGCCTGTAACATCTAATACAGTATAACTAATTTTCATGTTGGCGTAAAATGTGAGGTTCAAAGTTTATTCTTGACTTGGAAACAATCAGTTGAGAAACAAACTCACCACAGTTACATTATTAAGATTCTTGTAAACATTATCTTTGCACATGATCATGTACCTGTGGACATTTGTACATGCCCTTCAGAGAAATCCATTTCAAGGAATATTTGGGTTTTGGCAAAGTTGGCAAAGCTGGCAAAGCTTCTGGGGCAGTTTGATGACACATTTGTGAAATTCCATTGTGTGGAAACTCTTATCATCTATAAAAAGGACAAACGCTGACAAATTCTCAAGTTTTGGGAGTGACTCCTGACTACAAAACCTGGACCATCACTATGAGATTCTCTCTACATGTTGGCTTCTTTGTCCTGTGGCTGAACATGGACGTTTCATTATCACAGAATGGTAAGAATTTTGGGTAATGTGTCAGATTTTGTATTTATTTTGTACCACAGTTACACCAACACTGATGTCGATGAAGACAAAAACATCCACTTTAATGAGTCTTTTAAACAAATATTGAAACCTGAACTTATTTTTCCAAAAACATGAAAGGCTAAATCTGCCAGTGAGCCTAAAGTCTAAATATAAAAATCAAGTCTTACCACCAGGAGAGAGATTTGATTTATTCTGCATTGTCCCTGGGGTAGCATTTCACTCATTCAGACATATTTTACTACTTGTTAAGATAGCTGACGAATTTATGTTCCATCTCTGGTCGGACTTAATGGAGTGTATCCGAGTATAAAAAAAACTATTGTGAACATTATAGCTATAGCAATTATTTAAAAAAGATAGCAAAAAGGTTTCTAATTAATTCAATATGCATTGCAAAATCCTTTTTTTTTTCTTATGGCTTTTTGATTATTTTGTTGTTGATATCTTCATTTTATTTATATAAATATATCGATTTCTCATTTGATATCCGCCTAATTTGAAAGAAAGGACAGTTTTATTGTCTGTGTCTCAGACCTCTAGTACAGCAGGACACTTAATCACTTATTTCTTTCTTCTTTTGCCACATATACCCTTTAATACAAATGTGACTGCATGTATGATTTTGTGAACTAATGATTAAATGACTAAATGATTTTCACCAACTGTAATCCAAAATGTGGCCATCATAACTCCTCTATCATAATATCTAAAATTCTTGGCCTCTGCCAAATTTCAGTAGTTTCCTCTGACTGCAGACTGTATCCGAAATCAATGCTCCATGATCTAGAGAAAGTTATCCACACCTTGCTTTCTTGTTGACTAGACTGTAATTCCCTACAAGTTGTCATTGTAACAGCTGCAACTTGATTAACATGCTGCTTCTCAACTTCTCTCTGGCATCAAAAAGTGCGACCACATTTCTCCCATGCTAGCCTTAAATTTAGGTCTCTGAGGTCCTCTGACCTAAACTTGTTGGCCGTTTCACAATTTAGACTGAATTTAAAGGGAGATCAATCCTTCGCTGTCCTGGCTGCTGGCAAAACAGCAGAGTGGAATCAGATTATCTCAGATTTGTAACCATGACTAAGGGTCGGCAATTGTTTAATTGTTCTATAAAGCACACATGTACTGTTCATACGAAGTTACTTAGTTACTAAACTTGTCCCATCAATGCCCACATTTGTTTTAGAGTCTGCAGGCTGTGAGAGCCCACCGCCTCTTAAAGATGGAGACATCAAGTACACTATGAAAAGTCAGTACAGCCATAATGAACGGGTTGAATATGTGTGTCAGCCGTTTTACATCATGGAGGGAGTGCCTTACAGGACCTGCAACAATGGTGAA